GCCTCAGCCAACCTCCTGTCTCAGCCCAACCTCCGCTCCCAGCCTCGAGCCCAACCTCCTGCTCAGCCCACTCCGCTCAGCCCAACCTCTCTCAGCTCCACCTCGCCTCAGCCCAACCTCCTGTCTCAGCCCAACCTCCTGCCTCAGCCCAACCTCCTGTCTCAGCCCAACCTCCTCTAATGCTGCTACCAGCCCAACCTCCTGCTCTCCAGCCCAACCTCCTGCCTCAGCCCAACCTCCTGCCTCAGCCCAACCTCCTGTCTCAGCCCAACCTCCTGCCGCCCAACTCGCCAGCCCAACCTCCTGCCTCAGCCCAACCTCCTGTCTCAGCCCAACCTCCTGCCTCAGCCCAACCTCCTGCCTCAGCCCAACCTCCTGCTAGCCACCTCCTCCTCAGCCCAACCTCCTGCCTCAGCCCAACCTCCAGCCTCAGCCCAACTCCTGCCTCAGCCCAACCTCCTGTCTCAGCCCAACCTCCCCAACTCGCCTCAGCCCAACCTCCTGCCTCAGCCCAACCTCCTGCCTCAGCCCAACCTCCTGTCTCAGCCCAACCTCCTGTCTCAGCCCAACCTCTCCTCAGCCACCTCCAGCCTCAGCCCAACATCCTGCCTCAGCCCAACATCCTGTCTCAGCCCAACCTCCTGCCTCAGCCCAACCTCCTGCCTCAGCCCAACCTCCTGCCTCAGCCTAACCTCCTGTCTCAGCCCAACCTCCAGCTCAGCCTCAGCCCAACCTCCAGCTCAGCCTCAGCCCAACCTCCAGCTCAGCCTCAGCCCAACCTCCTGCCTCAGCCCAACCTCCTGTCTCAGCCCAACCTCCTGCCTCAGCCCAACCTCCTGTCTCAGCCCAACCTCCTGCCTCAGCCCAACCTCCTGCCTCAGCCCAACCTCCTGTCTCAGCCCAACCTCCTGCCTCAGCCCAACCTCCTGCCTCAGCCCAACCTCCTGTCTCAGCCCAACCTCCTGCCTCAGCCCAACCTCCTGCCTCAGCCCAACCTCCTGCCTCAGCCCAACCTCCTGCCTCAGCCCAACCTCCAGCCTCAGCCCAACATCCTGCCTCAGCCCAACCTCCTGCCTCAGCCCAACCTCCTGTCTCAGCCCAACCTCCTGTCTCAGCCCAACCTCCAGCTCCAGCCTCAGCCCAACATCCTGCCTCAGCCCAACCTCCTGTCTCAGCCCAACATCCTGCCTCAGCCCAACCTCCTGTCTCAGCCCAACCTCCAAGTCACTGCCTGAAGTGTACATGTCAAGGTTGTTCATCTCAATGACCAAGACGTTACAATTCTGCATTGAAATATTGTAGAGAGCATCCACTGCATCTTACTTATTGTGAACTTGATGCCACGGCCTGCCTGCCTCCAAAATGGAAGATAGTTGGTCCATGCCCTCTACTTCAATGACCACCTTCTTGGCAGCCACAGCCATATATGGAACTTAAGGCCTTCAGGTTCGCCTTCAGCTCCTGACCTCCTGCCTGTAGCTTGTCTGCCTCCTCACTGTAATGGGCTTCTGTGGCAGGTGGTAATGCCTGCCCTTTGACCTGTGTACCCGCCATAACTACTGACAGACAACAGAAAACATGACAATGTCAGTGACATTGTTTTATCTATTCCATCAACTACAACAAAACATTTACTTGTTGAAACGAAGTAGAAATATGAGTCAGATGGAGTCAGTAGACTTTATAATTTGTTGTTAGACCCATAAAGTTCTGAAGAGAAGTCCCTCCGATCATTCATCTAAAAAATAATAATAATGAACTTACATCAAAGACACACCGATTGAGAAATGCACACAGTCCACAATACTTGAATGCCCGCCTTGCTCTTGTAATTGCAAACAGGTAAGTAAAGGCAAACCTGCACAAACCTTTTGCTCTAAGGTGGTCCCTCATAAACAGGTTGTAAGCTGACACATAACTTTTTTTTTTTTTTAGGGACAGCTTGACTCTGGGACAGTTTCCTTCTTTCATTCCCACGGGGGTATTAAAAATAATAATAATGTACGCACTCACTAACGGTAAGTCGCTCTGGATAAGAGCGTCTGCTAAATGACGTAAATGTGATTGTAAAATGTAAGACAACACAATAGTAAAGAATACTGCATCACATTTTCAAATCAGAGTAATTGTCATAATAGTTTATTAAAAGAGTCTGCTAAATGGCATATTTTTAAAATATTTTTATTAAAAGAGTAGACACAAAAATATTGCTCCACAAACTCAGCGTTTTTTATACCTGGTACTGGTCATATAGTGAGTGTGTCTTAGTAAATTTTTCTGGATTTATGGATGGTTCTTGATTTGTAGAGTGATGGGATGCTTTGAGACTTGACACTGCCGAACCATACCACCCAAGGAAGCAGAAGGTTAAGATGCTTTCAATGAATGTCTTATATAAAAGCTGAATCATCAGTAAGGCCATAGGAAGTGTCCTAAGTAGTCCTAAGCCAAATGTTTTGCTCAGAACCCAGGGAGATATTACAAAAAGACAAAACCCTTTCTGATGTTCACAGAATACAAAACAGAACATTAATGACCCTCCCCTCCACCACACTCTCCGACAGTCCAGTTCTGATGGCTGCCTCTCCTGGTCATTCACTGGTCAAATAAGGTTTTCAAAACCTCTCTTTGATCAGGAAAGGGGGGCCAAGCCGAATTTCATTTCAGATTGTCAGTGATGTGTACGCAGAGGAAAGCTTTTCACCTTCTCCACTGCGGTCCCGTCGATGTGGATAGGGTCGTGCTCCCTCTGCTGTCTCCTGAAGTCCACGATCAGCTCTTTCGTTTTGTTGACGTTGAGGGAGAGGTTATTTTCCTGGCTGTTCTGTATTGTTTGTATTGTTTGTCTCTTTCAGTTTAAGAGTCAATGCAATTCACATTGTGCCTTAACATGTTCTACTTGTCTACTAATAAATTCAAACTAAAACCGTGTGAGAGTTTTAACCTATCATGCTGTACCAAAAGCAATGACCATCAACTCTGACTGTGTGGCAATAAAATGTCTTGCTGCGACCAGTGTACAGTCTAAAGACACTACAGGAGATGGGAGACCACGACCAGGCCGTCACATCATTCCTTCTGATCTTTCTTGTGAGCAGTGGCAGTCTTCCTGAATTCGTAAAGTACAATCTGGGTCGGCTATCGGTCAACGACCAATGCGCGAGGCTGCGCTCTACGCAAAAAAAACAAAACAAAAACTATAGAACTGCAAATGAGCCGCCGTGGGGCAGTGTGCCCACAAAAGCCTGGGACTTGGTTGGAGGCCGTACAGGGTCGTATTCACTAGGCACCAAACAGAATGAAAACGGACTGAAACTGCAAGGGACTACCTGAACTTGTCCTATAAGAAACGCTTGTTTTTACTTTTTCATTGCAAGGGAGTTTTGCTACGGTCCGCACCAATAAATACGACCTAGTACTTACACAGGTTACAACGGAGCTACCTAACCCTCTTCCTGGAGATCCACCCTCCTGTGGGTATTCAGTCCAACCCCAACCTAACATACCTGATTCAGAGGGTGATGTTCCAGGCCCTGACCAAATTGCAGATAATCCATTGCATCAACCAATAGTTGCATAGCACGTCATCGACTGAGCAGTCGGGCATTAGGTTGCTATATCATATGGGTCGCATTCCTGCCTGACTACATTGTAGACGGCTGCCAGATCTCGCAAAGCTTGGACAGGTGTTTAACATACCAGCTAACCACATCATATTTACATTTACATTTTAGTCTTTTAGCAGATGCTCTTATCCAGAGCGACTTACAGTTAGTGAGTGCATACATTTTCCATACTGGCCCCCCGTGGGAATCAAACCCACAACCCCTGGTGTTGCAAGCGCCATGCTCTACCAACTGAGCTACAGGGGGCCTATGATATATGATATAGCAATGTAATGCCCGACGGTCGATGACGTGGCGCTCAACCATTGGTTGATGCAACGCAACGTCTTCAACGTAATCAGGCAGGAACACCACCTGATTGTGTGGTTAGCTGATATGTTCAACACTAGCCTCATGCGGCCATCCTTCCAAATCTTGTCTCGTTGAATCGTTTTGGAAATCTTGAGAAATCCAGTATAGGATTCTGGATTTGAATGGGAGTGTAGGTTTTTCTTCAAACCCTTATCTAGCGCACCTAACTAACTGGTTTATAAGCTGAATCACGTTAGTTACTACTGGGTTTGGAGCGAAAACCTACAGGATGGTAGCTCTACGGGAACAGAGGTGATTTGGGATTTGTACAAAATTAAATAAAAGTAGAGGCCAATAACTCACCAAATAATCTGAACTAGTTATGCTAATCTGTTATGTTAACTATCCAAACGTTGCAATACACCCAGAAATTAAGAAGCAATGAAGTCCACCTGGAACGCACCCGTGTCGACCTGCATCCACAGCCTAGCAATGAACGCACCCGTGTCGACCCGCAACGCGTCCGCCGGCTAGCGATGTGGTGATTGTTCATTTTATAAAATTTTTTAACTAGGCAAGTCAGTTAAGAATAAATTATTATTTACAATCACGGCCTACCCTAATCGGGTGAGCCAGCAGCCAGCTGGGCCACGAGTTGCCGGAGCTCGTTCAGAGTTGACTTTTTACGTTTAAAAAAAATTTTTTTTATTAATTAAGGTGCTGCAAATGCAATGCTCACTTATTATTAATTAATTCCCATTTTGCTTCCTATGGCGGGCAAGGGAGGTCTGGTATCGGCCATGCTGGAAATGTGATCTCGCGTTATATGTATCTGTATCGGGAGGAATCGTTTAGTCGGATCCCACCAGCAGCCAGACACCCAAACCGGAAGTGAGCTTCAGGCAGGAAGCACGGGGACAACGTGAATGTCAACTAACGTTGTACGCACCGAAATGTTACAGGCAAAATGAAGAAAATCCTCTTCAGCATTTTTAGTAATTGTAACTACATAATATATAATCTAGCGTCTGTAACTAAACTATTTATTTGTTAAACGTTGCAGTTTAGAGGCGTGTAGTAACAATGTTGCGAGCTAACGTGTTGTGGTTGACTGAAGCATGTCGACATTACTGCCAGAAGACACCCAGAAAGCTCCGAGTATGCGAAGCAATCTCAAGTTTAGAAGTGGGAACAAAAATCAAAGTGCAGGTATTGTAATTGTGTCTACGGTCAAATAAATGAATGAATGAGTAGTAAGTGAATGAACGAATGTCCTCGGAGGTCTGCTACTCAGTGGTCATCACTGCTACCGTGTAGCATTCATTTCCAAATATAATAATAATAATAATATGCCATTTAGCAAACGCTTTTATCCAAAGCGACTTACAGTCATGTGCGCATAAATTTTTACGTATGGGTGGGCCCGGGGATCGAACCCACTACCCTGGCGTTACAAGCGCCATGCTCTACCAATTGAGCTACAGAGGACCAATATTACATTTGTAATTACTCAATGATTGAATATAGGCTGCTGTATTTAGCTATTCAACTCAGGGCTGGTCAAAGTCTATAATGTAATGTACTGCCCCCTCCAGTGATGTAAAAATGTACTTTATACGCTTGTGATATGTGGTTGTCTCACCTAACTATCTTAAGATGAATGCACTAACTGTAAGTCGCTCTGGATAAGAGATCTGATAAATGACTAAAATGTAAATGTAAAAACGACCCAATTGTCATACTTGAATAAAAGTAAAGATACCTTCATAGAAAATGACTCAAGTAAAAGTTAGTCACCAAGCAAAAAACTACAAGTATTTGGTTTTAAATATACTTAAGTATCAAAAGTAAATGTAATTGCTAAAATATACTTAAGTATCAAAAGTAAAAGTATACATAATTTCCTTTATAATAAGCAAACCAGACGGCACCATTGTATTTTTTATTTACGTGTAGCCAGGGGCACACTCCAACACTCAGACATCATTTACAGTGTGTGAATTGGACCATTTTACTGTCCTGCTAAGCATTCGAAATGTAATGAGTACTTTTGGATGTCAGGGAAAATGTATGGAGTAAAAAGTACATTATTTTCTTTAGGAATGTAGTCGAGTAAAAGTTGTCAAAATATCAATAGTAAAGTACAGATACCCCCAAAAAACGACTTAAGTAGTATTTAAAAGTATTTTTACTTAAGTACTTTACACCACTGTGACCCTCTGATATCCTAGGGCTGGGCTGGTCAAAGTCTGTAATGTAATATACTGTCCCTCTGATATCCTAGGGCTGGGTTCGCTCTGTGAGACCCCAGAAGGAGAATCTGTTCCTCCATGTGAATGATGGGAGCTCCCTTCAGTCTCTACAAGTAGTGGCCAGCTCAGAGCTCAACCACAGGTAAGGACGTACCTGTAGGCTATGTTGCACAGGTAAGGACGTACCTGTAGGCTATGTTGCACAGGTAAGGACGTACCTGTAGGCTATGTTGCACAGGTAAGGACGTACCTGTAGGCTATGTTGCACAGGTAAGGACGTACCTGTAGGCTATGTTGCACAGGTAAGGACGTACCTGTAGGCTATGTTGCATGATCCTCCTGAAAGTCAGCTCGCGTCCCAAATGGTACCCTGTGCCCTTTATAGTGCACTACTTTTGACCAGGGTTCGTAGGGCGCTGGTCAAAAGTAATGCGCTATGTGGGATACAGTGGGGGAAAAAAGTATTTAGTCAGCCACCAATTGTGCAAGTTCTCCCACTTAAAAAGATGAGAGAGGCCTGTAATTTTCATCATAGGTACATGTCAACTATGACAGACAAAATGAGATTTTTTTTTCCAGAAAATCACATTGTAGGATTTTTAATGAATTTATTTGCAAATTATGGTGGAAAATAAGTATTTGGTCAATAACAAAAGTTTCTCAATACTTTGTTATATACCCTTTGTTGGCAATGACACAGGTCAAACGTTTTCTGTAAGTCTTCACAAGGTTTTCACACACTGTTGCTGGTATTTTGGCCCATTCCTCCATGCAGATCTCCTCTAGAGCAGTGATGTTTTGGGGCTGTCGCTGGGCAACACGGACTTTCAACTCCCTCCAAAGATTTTCTATGGGGTTGAGATCTGGAGACTGGCTAGGCCACTCCAGGACCTTGAAATGCTTCTTACGAAGCCACTCCTTCGTTGCCCGGGCGGTGTGTTTGGGATCATTGTCATGCTGAAAGACCCAGCCACGTTTCATCTTCAATGCCCTTGCTGATGGAAGGAGGTTTTCACTCAAAATCTCACGATACATGGCCCCATTCATTCTTTCCTTTACACGGATCAGTCGTCCTGGTCCCTTTGCAGAAAAACAGCCCCAAAGCATGATGTTTCCACCCCCATGCTTCACAGTAGGTATGGTGTTCTTTGGATGCAACTCTGCATTCTTTGTCCTCCAAACACGACAAGTTGAGTTTTTACCCAAAAGTTATATTTTGGTTTCATCTGACCATATGACATTCTCCCAATCCTCTTTTGGATCATCCAAATGCACTCTAGCAAACTTCAGACGGGCCTGGACATGTACTGGCTTAAGCAGGGGGACACGTCTGGCACTGCAGGATTTGAGTCCCTGGCGGCATAGTGTGTTACTGATGGTAGGCTTTGTTACTTTGGTCCCAGCTCTCTGCAGGTCATTCACTAGGTCCCCCCGTGTGGTTCTGGGATTTTTGCTCACCGTTCTTGTGATCATTTTGACCCCACGGGGTGAGATCTTGCGTGGAGCCCCAGATCGAGGGAGATTATCAGTGGTCTTGTATGTCTTCCATTTCCTAATAATTGCTCCCACAGTTGATTTCTTCAAACCAAGCTGCTTACCTATTGCAGATTCAGTCTTCCCAGCCTGGTGCAGGTCTACAATTTTGTTTCTGGTGTCCTTTGACAGCTCTTTGGTCTTGGCCATAGTGGAGTTTGGAGTGTGACTGTTTGAGGTTGTGGACAGGTGTCTTTTATACTGATAACAAGTTCAAACAGGTGCCATTAATACAGGTAACGAGTGGAGGACAGAGGAGCCTCTTAAAGAAGAAGTTACAGGTCTGTGAGAGCCAGAAATCTTGCTTGTTTGTAGGTGACCAAATACTTATTTTCCACCATAATTTGCAAATAAATTCATTAAAAATCCTACAATGTGATTTTCTAAGATTTTTCTTTCTCATTTTGTCTGTCATAGTTGACGTGTACCTATGATGAAAATTACAGGCCTCTCTCATCTTTTTAAGTGGGAGAACTTGCACAATTGGTGGCTGACTAAATACTTTTTTCCCCCCACTGTATAGGGTGCTGTTTGGGACGCATCCAAAGACTGATGTAAGTTGGGGTTGGATTGACTTGTGTAGCTATACGATGTATCAAATGATATTCTATGTTACTGTACCTATCATGAGTCTTTTTTTTCAATTGGCTTAATTATTACGCCGCTGTTCTTTCCTGGTTGTTTCTTCTTGTCCAGACTGCTGACGTTCGGGAGTGCCGTGGAGATCTCGGGAAGCCTGCTCAAGAGTCCCAGCCGTAAGCAGGAGGTGGAACTACATGCTGATCAGATCGATGTGGTTGGAGAATGTAACCCTGTGGTAAATATATAACCTGATCGATGTGGTTGGAGAATGTAACCCTGTGGTAAATATATAACCAGATAGATGTGGTTGGAGAATGTAACCCTGTGGGAAATATATAACCAGATAGATGTGGTTGGAGAATGTAACCCTGTGGTAAATATATAACCAGATAGATGTGGTTGGAGAATTTAACCCTGTGGGAAATATATAACCAGATCGATGTGGTTAGAGAATGTAATCCTGTGGTAAATATATAACCAGATCGATGTGGTTGGAGAATGTAACCCTGTGGTAAATATATAACCAGAACGATGTGGTTGGAGAATGGAATCCTGTGGTAAATATATAACCAGATTGATGTGGTTGGAGAATGTAATCTGTGGTAAATATATAACCAGATAGATGTGGTTGGAGAATGTAATCCTGTGGTAAATATATAACCAGATAGATGTGGTTGGAGAATGTAATCCTGTGGTAAATACACTGCTCAAAAAAATAAAGGGAACACTTAAACAACACAATGTAACTCCAAGTCAATCACACTTCTGTGAAATCAAACTGTCCACTTAGGAAACAACACTAATTGACAATAAATGTCACATGCTGTTGTGCAAATGGAATAGACAACAGGTGGAAATTATAGGCAATTAGCAAGACACCCCCAATAAATAACTGGTTTTGCAGGTGGTGACCACAGACCACTTCTCAGTTCCTATGCTTCCTGGCTGATGTTTTGGTCACTTTTGAATGCTGGCGGTGCTTTCACTCTAGTGGTAGCATGAGACGGAGTCTACAACCCACACAAGTGGCTCAGGTAGTGCATTCCTGGATCCTGGACTTGCCAAGAAGGTCGCCCGTTGTCAGGTAGTAACAACACATCTGCCACACTGAATCCTCAACACGGGAGCCCTCGGGGTGCTGCTGAGTCCCCTCCTGTACTCTCCTGTTCACCCTGACTGCATGGCCAGGCACGACTCCAGCCCATCAGTAGCTTTGCCAGACCACCACATGAGCCTGATCAACCGCAACGATGATGCACCTAAGGAGGAGTCAAGATCTGGCCGTGGTGGGCCAGGCACAGCCTCTCCCTCAACGTGACCAAGACAAAGGAGATGATTGTGGACTACAGGAAAAAAAAGAGGACTGAGCACGCCCCCATTCTCATCGACGGGGCTGTAGTGGAACAGGTTGAGAGCTTCAAGTTCCTTGGTGTCCACATCACCAACGAACTATCATGGTCCAAACACACCAAGACAGTCGTGAAGAGGGCACGACAAAGCCTATTCCCCCTCAGGAGACTAAAAAGATTTGGCATGGGTCCTCAGATCCTCAAAAAATTCTACAGCTGCACCATCGAGAGCATCCTGACTGGTTGCATCACCGCCTGGTATGGCAACTGCTTGGCCTCTGACCGCAAGGCACTACAGAGGGTAGTGCGTACGGCCCAGTACATCACTGGGGCAAAGCTCCCTGCCATCCAGGACCTCTATACCAGGCGGTGTCAGAGGAAGGCCCTCAAAATTGTCAAAGACTCCAGTCACCCTAGTCATAGACTGTTCTCTCTGCTACCGCACGGCAAGCGGTACCGGAGTGCCAAGTCTAGGTCCAAAAGACTTCTCAACAGCTTCTACCCCCAAGCCATAAGACTCCTGAACAGCTAATCATGGCTACCCGGACTATTTGCACTGCCCCCCCCACCCCATCCTTTTTACGCTGCTGCTACTCTGTTAAGTATTTATGCATAGTCACTTTAACTCTACCCACATGTACATATTACCTCAACTAGCCGGTGCCCCCGCACATTGACTATGCAACGGTACCCCCCTGTATATATAGCCTCCCTACTGTCACTTTATTCTATTGTATATATAGCCTCCCTACTGTCACTTTATTTTTTACTTCTGCTCTTTTTTTTCTCAACACTTTTTTGTTGTTGTTTTATTCTTACTTTTTTGTTTAAAATAAATGCACTGTTGGTTAAGGGCTGTAAGTAAGCATTTCACTGTAATGTCTGCACCTGTTGTATTCGGCGCATGTGACCAATAAAATTTGATTTGATTTGATTTGATTTGATTTGCAGCTCATCCAGGATGGCACATCAATGCGAGCTGTGGCAAGAAGGTTTGCTGTGTCTGTCAGCGTAGTGTCCAGAGCATGGAGGCGCTACCAGGAGACAGGCCAATACATCAGGAGACGTGGAGGAGGCCGTAGGAGGGCAACAACCCAGCAGCAAGACTGCTACCTCCGCCTTTGTGCAAGGAGGAGCAGGAGGAGCACTGCCAGAGCCCTGCAAAATGACCTCCAGCAAGCCACAAATGTGCATGTGTCTGCTCAAACGGTCAGAAACAGACTCCATGAGGGTGTTATGAGGGCCCGACGTCCACAGGTGGGGGTTGTGCTTACAGCCCAACACCGTGCAGGACGTTTGGCATTTGCCAGAGAACACCAAGATTGGCAAATTCGCCACTGGCGCCCTGTGCTCTTTACAGATGAATGCAGGTTCACACTGAGCACATGTGACAGACGTGACAGAGTCTGGAGACGCCGTGGAGAACATTCTGCTGCCTGCAACATCCTCCAGCATGACCGGTTTGGCGGTGGGTCAGTCATGGTGTGGGGTGGCATTTCTTTGGGGGGCCGCACAGCCCTCCATGTGCTCGCCAGAGGTAGCCTGACTGCCATTAGGTACCGAGATGAGATCCTCAGACCCCTTGTGAGACCATATGCTGGTGCGGTTGGCCCTGGGTTCCTCCTAATGCAAGACAATGCTAGACCTCATGTGGCTGGAGTGTGTCAGCAGTTCCTGCAAGAGGAAGGCATCGATGCTATGGACTGGCCCGCCCGTTCCCCAGACCTGAATCCAATTGAGCACATCTGGGACATCATGTCTCGCTCCATCCACCAACGCCACGTTGCACCACAGACTGTCCAGGAGTTGGCGGATGCTTTAGTCCAGGTCTGGGAGGAGATCCCTCAGTAGACCATCCGCCACCTCATCAGGAGCATGCCCAGGCGTTGTAGGGAGGTCATACAGGCACGTGGAGGCCACACACACTACTGAGCCTCATTTTGACTTGTTTTAAGGACATTACATCAAAGTTGGATCAGCCTGTAGTGTGGTTTTCCACTTTAATTTTGAGGGTGACTCCAAATCCAGACCTCCATGGGTTGATACATTTGATTTCCATTAATAATTTTTGTGTGATTTTGTTGTCAGCACATTCAACTATGTAAAGAACAAATGATTTAATACGATTATTTCATTCATTCAGATCTGTGGTCCTCTGTAGCTCAGCTGGTAGAGCACGGCGCTTGTAACGCCAGGTAGCTTAGTGGTTAAGAGCGTTGTGCCAGTAACCGAAAGGTCGCTGGTTCTAATCCCCGAGCCGACTAGGTGAAAAATCTGTCGATGTGCCCTTGAGCAAGGCACTTAACCCTAATTGCTCATGTAAGTCGCTCTGGATAAGAGCGTCGCTAAATGACAATAAAAAAAAAAAAAAAAAAAAAAAACGCCAAGGTAGTGGGTTCGATCCCCGGGACCACCCATACACAAAAAAAAAAATGTATGCACGCATGACTGTAAGTCGCTTTGGATAAAAGCGTCTGCTAAATGGCATATTATTATTATTATTATTATCTAGGATGTGTTATTTTAGTGTTCCCTTTATTTTTTTGAGCAGTGTATATAACCAGATAGATGTGGTTGGAGAATGTAACCCTGTGGTAAATATATAACCAGATAGATGTGGTTGGAGAATGTAACCCTGTGGTAAATATATAACCAGATAGATGTGGTTGGAGAATGTAACCCTGTGGTAAATATATAACCAGATAGATGTGGTTGGAGAATGTAACCCTGTGGATATATAACCAGATAGATGGGTAAAACCCTGTGGTAAATATATAACCAGATAGATGTGGTTGGAGAATGTAACCCTGTGGTAAATATATAACCAGATAGATGTGGTTGGAGAATGTAACCCTGTGGTAAATATATAACCAGATAGATGTGGTTGGAGAATGTACCCTGTGGTAAATATATAACCAGATCGATGTGGTTGGAGAATGTAACCCTGTGGTAAATATATAACCAGATCGATGTGGTTGGAGAATGTAACCCTGTGGTAAATATATAACCAGATAGATGTGGTTGGAGAATGTAACCCTGTGGTAAATATATAACCAGATAGATGTGGTTGGAGAATGTAACCCTGTGGTAAATATATAACCAGATAGATGTGGTTGGAGAATGTAACCCTGTGGTAAATATATAACCAGATCGATGTGGTTGGAGAATGTAATCCCTGTGGTAAATATATAACCAGATAGATGTGGTTGGAGAATGTAACCCTGTGGTAAATATATAACCAGATCGATGTGGTTGGAGAATGTAACCCTGTGGTAAATATATAACCAGATAGATGTGGTTGGAGAATGTAACCCTGTGGTAAATATATAACCAGATAGATGTGGTTGGAGAATGTAACCCTGTGGTAAATATATAACCAGATAGATGTGGTTGGAGAATGTAACCCTGTGGTAAATATATAACCAGATAGATGTGGTTGGAGAATGTAACCCTGTGGTAAATATATAACCAGATAGATGTGGTTGGAGAATGTAACCCTGTGGTAAATATATAACCAGATAGATGTGGTTGGAGAATGTAACCCTGTGGTAAATATATAACCAGATAGATGTGGTTGGAGAATGTAACCCTGTGGTAAATATATAACCAGATAGATGTGGTTGGAGAATGTAACCCTGTGGTAAATATATAACCAGATAGATGTGGTTGGAGAATGTAACCCTGTGGTAAATATATAACCAGATAGATGTGGTTGGAGAATGTAACCCTGTGGTAAATATATAACCAGATAGATGTGGTGGAGAATGTAACCCTGTGGTAAATATATAACCAGATAGATGTGGTTGGAGAATGTAACCCTGTGGTAAATATATAACCAGATAGATGTGGTTGGAGAATGTAACCCTGTGGTAAATATATAACCAGATGATGTGGTTGGAGAATGTAACCCTGTGGTAAATATATAACCAGACAGATGTGGTTGGAGAATGTAACCCTGTGGTAAATATATAACCAGATCGATGTGGTTGGAGAATGTAACCCTGTGGTAAATATATAACCAGATAGATGTGGTTGGAGAATGTAACCCTGTGGTAAATATATAACCAGATAGATGTTTGGGTTTGGGGAATGTAACCCTGTGGTAAATATATAACCAGATAGATGTGGTTGGAGAATGTAACCCTGTGGTAAATATATAACCAGATAGATGTGTGTTGGAGAATGTAACCCTGTGGTAAATATATAACCAGATCGATGTGGTTGGAGAATGTAACCCTGTGGTAAATATATAACCAGATAGATGTGGTTGGAGAATGTAACCCTTTGGGAAATATACACTGTGTGCACAATTATTAGGCAAGTCAGTATTTTGACCATATCATCATTATTATGCATATTTCCCAACCCCAAGCTGTATAAACTGGAATGCTTATTGGATTTAAGCATATCAGGTGATGTGTATTTGTGTAATGAGGGAGGGTGTGGCCTAAGGAGATCAACACCCTATATCAAGGTGTGTATAATTATTAGGCAGCTTCTTTTCCTCAGGCAAAATGGGCCAAAAAATAGATTTAACTGACTCTGAAAAGTAAAAAATTGTAAAAAGTATTTCAGAGGGATGCAGCACTCTTGAAATTGCTAAGATATTGGGGTGTGATCACAGAACCATCAAACGTTTTGTAGCAAATAGTCAACAGGGTCGCAAGAACCGTGTTGAGAAAAAAATAGGCAAATTAACTGCCAAAGATTTGAGAAGAATCAAACGTGAAGCTACCAGGAACCCATTATCCTCCAGTGCTGTCATATTCCAGAACTGCAACCTACCTGGAGAAGAAGTACAAGGTGTTCAGTGCTCAGAGACATGGCCAAGGTAAGGAAGGATGAAACACGACCACCACTGAACAAGACGCATAAGTTGAAATGTCAAGACTGGGCCAAGAAATATCTGAAGACAGATTTTTCAAAGGTTTTATGGACTGATGAGATGAGAGTGACTCTTGACGGACCAGATGGATGGGCCCGTGGCTGGATCAGTAACGGGCACGGAGCTCCACTTCGACTCAGACGCCAGCAAGGTGGAGGTGGGGTACTGGTATGGGCTGGTATTATTAAAGATGAGCTAGTTGGATCTTTTCGGGTTGAAGATGGACTCAAACTCAACTCCCAAACCTACTGCCAGTTTTTAGAAGACACTTTCTTCAAGCAGTGGTACAGGAAAAAGTCTGCATCTTTCAAGAAGACCATGATTTTTATGCAGGACAATGCTCCATCGCGTGCATCGAAGTACTCCACTGCGTGGCTAGCCAGTAAAGGCCTTAAAGATGAAAGAATAATGACAAGGCCCCCCCTTCCTCACCTGACCTAAACCCTATTGAGAACTTGTGGTCCCTTCTTAAACGGTGGATTTTACGGTGAAGGAAAACAGTACCCCTCTCTGACCAGTGTCCGGGAGGCTGTGGTTGCTGCTGCACAAAAAGTTAATCGTCAACAGATCCAGAAACTGACAGACTCCATGGATGGAAGGCTTATGACTTATTGAAAAGAAGGGTGGCTATATTGGTCACAGATTTTTATTTTATTACGTCAGAAATGTTTATTTGTAAATTTTGAGTTTGTTTGTTTATTATTCTCACTTTAACAGATAAATAAACAAGTGAGACGGGGAACGTTTCGTTTTTCATTTAGCTGCATAATAATTCTGCACACTAATAGTTGCCCAATAATTGTGCACACATAGATATGCTCCAAAGAAAGCCAAAACCTCACTTTTACTTTCTTTGGAGCACTTTTACCAGTTACCGCGCTCTCTGGTTTCAGACCCAGTTACCGCGCTCTCTGGTTTCAGACCCAGTTACCGCGCTCTCTGGTTTCAGACCCAGTTACCGCGCTCTCTGGTTTCAGACCCAGTTACCGCGCTCTCTGGTTTCAGACCCAGTTACCGCGCTCTCTGGTTTCAGACCCAGTTACCGCGCTCTCTGGTTTCAGACCCAGTTACCGCGCTCTCTGGTTTCAGACCCAGTTACCGCGCTCTCTGGTTTCAGACCCAGTTACCGCGCTCTCTGGTTTCAGACCCAGTTACCGCGCTCTCTGGTTTCAGACCCAGTTACCGCGCTCTCTGGTTTCACACCCAGTTACCGCGCTCTCTGGTTTCAGACCCAGTTACCGCGCTCTCTGGTTTCAGACCCAGTTACCGCGCTCTCTGGTTTCAGACCCAGTTACCGCGCTCTCTTGTTTCAGGCCTCCGTTACCACGCTCTCTGGTTTCAGACCCATTTACCACGCTCTCTGGTTTCAGGACTTTCCCTTTAAGATCAAGGAGAAGCATGGCCTGGAATACATCCGTCAGTTTCCTCACCTGAGGTGTCGAACCAACGCCTTCAGTTCCCTGCTGAGAATACGAAGCGAAGCCACCACAGCTATACATGAATATTTCAAGGTGAGATGAGACCAATGTTAGTCCAGTAGACTAGAATATCATTGTTAGACCAACTGTAGCTCTGCCTACTGTGCCACGCCAAGCTCTGCCTACTGTGCCAACGTGAAAATCAAATATCCAAGCTGACCAATAGTGTGAAGAGTGTGGTGGTGATAATGGTAGTGCTGTTGTTGTTGTTGCAGGAGAAGGGCTTTATTCAGATCCACACCCCAGTCCTCACCTCTAATGACTGTGAAGGGGCAGGGGAGCTCTTCCAGGTGGAGGTGAGATCTATCTGTCTGTCTGTCTGTCTGTCTGTCTGTCAGAGAATCACAATTCTAGTCTGGCGATCAACAACGTGATGAAGTTAGAATAATACGACTTGGTATGTCAGCACATGGAGATCAGTTTAGTTTCTACAACACATCCGGTTGTCAGGTTGTTCTTTTTTAAAGAGAAGGCTTAATGTGTCTTCCATGTTTCCCTCAGCCTGCAGGTCAGCAGAAGAACCGGGACGAGGAGGGGCACCAACACTTCTTCTCCGTCCCAGCGTACCTGACTGTCTCTGGGCAGCTGCACCTGGAGGTCATGGCTGGGTGAGGACATACTGGTGCTCAGTACCATTCATTCATTCAGAAAGTCACTCACTCACTCACTCACTCACTCATTCAGAAAGTCAGTCAGTCTTTTGGTCAGTCAGTATTCCATTCATTCACTCATTCACTCACTCACTCATTCATTCAGAAAGTCAGTCATCCATTCATTCACTCCTTCACTCACTCACTCATTCATTCATAAGATCCAGAGAGTGTATTGTACGAATGCAGTGTTTCTACGTCTCTTCCAAGGGCGTTTCCTGGAGTGTACACTTTCGGACCAACGTTCCGAGCAGAGCACTCCCAGAGCAGACGTCACCTGGCTGAGTTCTACATGGTGGAGGCAGAGGTCCCCTTCACACAGTCACTGGAGGATCTTATGAAGGTATGTAATATAAGTCCCCTTTTATATAAAGAGTTTCTAACTAGTAATATTCTACAGTACACGGTGGAGGCAGAGATCACCACAGTCACCGGAGCAGGGGTTATCAAGCCTCTACTCGGGGAACCCCTCTGCTCTTCCATGTATTTGAACTATTCCAGAACTGGCACACCTGATTCAACTGGTCAAAAACCTTGACTACTTGGATCAGGGGAGCTAGTTCAGGGCTTCAACAAAATGGTGAAACGTCTGGCGGTCCCCGAGGAGAGCCCTGGGGGATATTATGAGAGTGTACAAAACATTAAGGACACCTGCTCTTTCCATTACACCAGGTGAATCCAGGTGAAAGCTATGACCCCTTATTGATGTCACCTGTTAAATCCACTTCAATCAGTGTAGATGAAGGGGAGGAGACTGATTTAAAGAAGGATTTCTAAGCCTGGAGACAATTGAGACATGGATTGTGTATGTGTGCCATTCAGAGGGTGAATGGGCAAGACAAAATATTTAAAGTGGAACTGACAGCGTTTTAACAACTTTGCAGATATGAAACAAACAGACAATCATAATATCAGTCAAAAATATCAAATTCCTATTTTATGCTACAAAACCAACTTGTAGAGGACTCCCGTGGTGTTTTTACATATTTGCAGAAATCCATTCCGGTGTATTTTGTGGCTTTTGGCGAATGCTTTCTAATGATCTAAAGTCACGCTGTTGAAGAAGCTGCAACTCAATATTAGGAAGGTGTTCCTAATGTTTTGTTCACTCAGTGTAAGTCCCTTAACACAGTATGAAGACTGAATAAAATGTATTTAACGAGTTCTATTGTTGAGGCAGAGATCTTTCCCACGGTCACCAGAGGACCTTATGACCTTATGTATTTTATTTTATCCTGTATATTGATGTATCGAGGGAGACCTGTCTCAAGAACTCAATGTGGAATCAGTTAATTTATCCGTTTGATCCAGTGTTGATATATGGCCTCCTAGTCCTGATTGACTAAATGACTCTGCATTAACTGGTCTCCTAGTCCTGATTGACTAAATGACTCTGCATTAACTGGTCTCCTCCTAGTCCTGATTGACTAAATGACTCAGCATTAACTGGTCTCCTTCTAGTCCTGATTGACTAAATGACTCAGCATTAACTGGTCTCCTTCTAGTCCTGATTGACTAAATGACTCAGCATTAACTGGTCTCCTTCTAGTCCTGATTGACTAAATGACTCAGCATTAACTGGTCTCATTCTAGTCCTGATTGACTAAATGACTCAGCATTAACTGGTCTCGTTCTAGTCCTGATTGACTAAATGACTCTGCATTAACTGGTCTCCTAGTCCTGATTGACTAAATGACTCTGCATTAACTGGTCTCCTCCTAGTCCTGATTGACTAAATGACTCAGCATTAACTGGTCTCCTTCTAGTCCTGATTGACTAAATGACTCAGCATTAACTGGTCTCGTTCTAGTCCTGATTGACTAAATGACTCTGCATTAACTGGTCTCCTAGTCCTGATTGACTAAATGACTCTGCATTAACTGGTCTCCTCCTAGTCCTGATTGACTAAATGACTCAGCATTAACTGGTCTCCTCCTAGTCCTGATTGACTAAATGACTCAGCATTAACTGGTCTCCTTCTAGTCCTGATTGACTAAATGACTCTGCATTAACTGGTCTCCTAGTCCTGATTGACTAAATGACTCAGCATTAACTGGTCTCCTTCTAGTCCTGATTGACTAAATGACTCAGCATTAACTGGTCTCCTTTCCTAGTCCTGATTGACTAAATGACTCAGCATTAACTGGTCTCCTTCTAGTCCTGATTGACTAAATGACTCTGCATTAACTGGTCTCCTCCTAGTCCTGATTGACTAAATGACTCAGCATTAACTGGTCTCCTTCTAGTCCTGATTGACTAAATGACTCAGCTTTAACTGGTCTCCTTCTAGTCCTGATTGACTAAATGACTCAGCATTAACTGGTCTCCTTCTAGTCCTGATTGACTAAATGACTCAGCGTTAACTGGTCTCCTTCTAGTCCTGATTGACTAAATGACTCAGCATTAACTGGTCTCCTTCTAGTCCTGATTGACTAAATGACTCAGCTTTAACTGGTCTCCTTCTAGTCCTGATTGACTAAATTACTCAGCATTAACTGGTCTCCTTCTAGTCCTGATTGACTAAATGACTCAGCTTTAACTGGTCTCCTTCTAGTCCTGATTGACTAAATGACTCAGCGTTAACTGGTCTCCTTCTAGTCCTGATTGACTAAATGACTCAGCTTTAACTGGTCTCCTTCTAGTCCTGATTGACTAAATGACTCAGCGTTAACTGGTCTCCTTGCCTCTTCAGGTGATGGAAGACTTGTTCAGGTCTACAACAGAACATCTCCTCGCTCAGTGTCCTGAAGATGTGGCTTTATGTCACAAACAGGTGTCACCTGGACACAGGGTGAGACCCCAGAAAATATCTAAACGCAATACTGTGCATATTCTTTGAACATATTGAACGAACCTTGAACTCCCCTCACCCTATTGACCTAAACTAGAGATGATTCTGTTTTCTCTGTTTCTCCCTAGGACAATGTGGATCTAATGATGAAGAAGAGTTTTAATGTGTAAGTGTGTATCATGATTATGCAAGCTATTCTGTGTCCCAAATGGCACCCTATTCCCATAGGGCCCTGTTCAAAAGTAGTGCACTATATAGGAAATAGGTTGCCATTTGGGTCGCATACCATGTCTCACCTCTACCAATCTAAATCAAATCCAAATCAAATTGTATTTGTCACATGCTTGGTAAACAACAGGTGTAGACTAAACAGAAATGGGAACATGTGGAATAACAATAACATGGCTATATACAGGAAGTAGAAAATAACATGACTATATACAGGAAGTAGAAAATAACATGGCTATATACAGGAAGTAGAAATAACGTGGCTATATACAGGAAGTAGAAAATAACATGGCTATATACAGGAAGTAGGAAATAACATGGCTATATACAGGAAGTAGAAAATAACATGGCTATATACAGGAAGTAGAAAATAACATGGCTATATACAGGAAGTAGAAATAACGTGGCTATATACAGGAAGTTGAAAATAACGTGGCTATATACAGGAAGTAGAAAATAACATGGCTATATACAGGAAGTAGAAAATAACATGACTATATACAGGAAGTAGAAAATAACATGGCTATATACAGGAAGTAGAAATAACGTGGCTATATACAGGAAGTAGAAAATAACATGGCTATATACAGGAAGTAGGAAATAACATGGCTATATACAGGAAGTAGAAAATAACATGGCTATATACAGGAAGTAGAAAATAACATGGCTATATACAGGAAGTAGAAATAACGTGGCTATATACAGGAAGTTGAAAATAACGTGGCTATATACAGGAAGTAGAAAATAACATGGCTATATACAGGAAGTAGAAAATAACATGGCTATATACAGGAAGTAGAATATAACATGGCTATATACAGGAAGTAGAAAATAACATGGCTATATACAGGAAGTAGAAAATAACATGGCTATATACAGGAAGTAGAAAATAACATGGCTATATACAGGAAGTACCAGTACCGAGTCCATGTGCAGGTGCACAAGGTAATTGAGGTAGCTATGTATATATACTGTAGGTAGGGGTAAAGTGACTAGGCAACAGGATAGATAATAGACAGTAGCAGCAGTATACTGTAGGTAGGGGTAAAGTGACTAGACAACAGGATAGATAATAGACAGTAGCAGCAGTATACTGTAGGTAGGGGTAAAGTGACTAGACAACAGGATAGATAATAGACAGTAGCAGCAGTATACTGTAGGTAGGGGTAATGTGAAAATGATGCATGTATGCGTCAGTATGCATGTATGCGCATGTTATGTGTGTGTGAGCGTATGTAGTGTGTGTATTGGGGCGTATGTAGTGTGTATTGGGGCGTATGCAGTGTGTGTATTGGGGCGTATGCAGTGTTTTTATTGGGGCGTATGCATTGTGTGTATTGGGGCGTATGCAGTGTGTGTATTGGGGCGTATGCAGTGTGTGTATTGGGACGTATGCAGTGTGTGTATTGGGGCGTATGCAGTGTGTGTATTGGGGCGTATGCAGTGTGTGTATTGGGGCGTATGCAGTGTGTGTATTGGGGCGTATGCTGTGTGTGTATTGGGGTGTGTGTATTGGGCGTGTGTATTGGGGCGTATGCAGTGTGTGTATTGGGTCATATGTAGTGTGTGTGTTGGGGCGTATATATTGTGTGTATTGGGGCATATGCAGTGTGTGTATTGGGGCGTATGCAGTGTGTGTATTGGGGCGTATGCAGTGTGTGTATTGGGGTGTATACAGTGTGTGTATTGGGGCGTATGCAGTGTGTGTATTGGGGTGTATGCAGTGTGTGTATTGGGGCGTATGCAGTGTGTGTGTTGGGGCGTATGCAGTGTGTGTATTGGGGCGTATGCAGTGTGTGTATTGGGGCGTATGCAGTGTATGTATTGGGGCGTGTGTATTGGGGCGTATGCAGTGTGTGTATTGGGGCGTATGCAGTGTGTGTATTGGGGCATATGCAGTGTGTGTGTTGGGGCGTATATAGTGTGTGTATTGGGGCGTATGCAGTGTGTGTATTGGGGCGTATGCAGTGTGTGTATTGGGACGTATGCAGTGTGTGTATTGGGGCGTATGTAGTGTGTGTATTGGGGCGTATGCAGTGTGTGTATTGGGGCGTATGCAGTGTGTGTATTGGGGCGTATGCAGTGTGTGTATTGGGGCGTATGCAGTGTGTGTATTGGGGCGTCAGTGTAGTGTGTCTCTTGAAGACGGAAGGGACATGGCCAGCGGTCAAGGATGAGTTGATGAGCAAGGTGAGGGAAGGGAGAAGGTCTCCGGAAATGGTCTGGAGAAGAGAGGAGGGGATAGGGTCAAGCAGGCAGGTTGTTGGGCGGTCGGCCGTCACAAGTCGCAAGATTTCATCTGGAGAGAGAGGGGAGAAAGAAGTCAAAGCATAGGGTAGGGCAGTGTGAGCAGGACCAGTGGTGTCATTTGACTTAATAAATAAGGATCGGATGTCGTCAACCTTCTTTTCAAAATGGTTGACCAAGTCATCCACAGAGAGGGAGGAGGGAGGGGGGGGAGGATTCAGCAGGAAGGAGAAGGTGGCAAAGATCTTCCTAGGTTTAGAGGCAGAGGCTTGAAATTTAGAGTGGTAGAAAGTGGCTTTAGCAGCAGAAACAGAGGAAGAAAATGTAGAGAGGAGGGAGTGAAAAGATGATTGGTCGGCAGGGAGTTTAGTTTTCTTCCATTTCCGCTCGGCTGCCCGGAGCCCTGTTCTGTGAGCTCGCAATAAGTCGTCAAGCCACGGAGCAGGAGTGGAGGACCGAGCCGGCCGGGAGGATAGGGGACATAGAGAGTCAAAGGATGCAGAAAGAGAGGAGAGGAGGGTTGAGGAGGCAGAATCAGGAGATTGGAGGGAGAAGGATTTAGCAGAGGGAAGAGATGATAGGATGGAAGAGGAGAGAGTAGCGGGAGAGAGAGAACGAATGTTGCGACGGCGCATTACCTTCTGAGTAGGGGCAGAGTGAGTAGTGTTGGAGGAGAGCGAGAGAGAAAAGGATACAAAGTAGTGGTCGGAGACTTGGAGGGGAGTTGCAGTGAGATTAGTAGAAGAACAGCATCTAGTAAAGATGAGGTCAAGCGTATTGCCTGCCTTGTGAGTAGGGGGGGACGGTGAGAGGGTGAGGTCAAAAGAGGAGAGGAGTGGAAAGGAGGCAGAGAGAAATGAGTCAAAGGTAGACGTAGGGAGGTTAAAGTCACCCAGAACTGTGAGGGGTGAGCCATCCTCAGGAAAGGAACTTATCAAGGCGTCAAGCTCATTGATGAACTCTCCAAGGGAACCTGGAGGGCGATAAATGACAAGGATATTAAGCTTAAATGGGCTAGTGACTGTGACAGCATAGAATTCAAATGAGGAGATGGACAGATGGGTCAGGGGAGAAAGAGAGAATGTCCATTTGGGAGAGATGAGGATTCCTGTGCCACCGCCGCGCTGACCAGATGCTCTTGGGGTATGCGAGAACACATGATCAGACGAGGAGAGAGCAGCAGGAGTAGCAATGTTTTCAGTGGTAATCCATGTTTCTGTCAGCGCCAAGAAATCGAGGGACTGGAGGGTAGCATAGGCTGAGATGAACTCTGCCTTGTTGGCAGCAGAACGGCAGTTCCAGAGGCTGCCGGAGACCTGGAACTCCATGTGGGTCGTGCGTGCAGGGACCACCAGGTTAGAGAGGCAGCAGCCACGCGGTGTGAGGCGTTTTTATAGCCTGTGCGGAGAGGAGAGAACAGGGATAGGCAGAGGCATAGTTGACAGGCTACAGAAAAGGCTACAATAATGCAAAGGAGATCGGAATGAAATTAACTAAACATCTGGGGAAACGAGGCCTCCCTCACTAACCTTTCACTGAAACACTCAAATACAACTCTTCCAACTTCCACTTTAGAAATTATAATTGCTGTAATCTACAGTAGTTCAATGTTTTCTAGGAATAGACTAACTTAGTTTATTCAGCTAGCTAACTTGGTACAGTATTCTTCTGTGAAAACCGCCCAGGGCACCGTATCCTATGACGCCATAGCTAACTAGCATGCTAGCATCCAATAACACACGGTTTAGCGCCAATACTTGGTTACAACAAACTACCAATAGATAATTCATGTCCGTGTCTAGTTCCTTTCATAACGCAGAAGTAATTAAACGTTGGCTAGCTAGCACAAAGTCAGTCATGCTAGCTACACAAGTGTACTACACATCTCGAATGTTCAGAAAGTGAAGCTTACGTTGCAAAATTCTCATTGACTAAAATGATACAGTACTGCTAGCTGGTAATGTTGGCTAGCTAGCAGTGGCTGCGGTGTTGACTGTTTGAAAATGTAGCTGGCTAGCTAACCTCGATAGTTTCTCTATACTACACCTTTGTCTTTGATACCAAGACAACTATGTAGCTAGCTAACTTTACGCTAATCAAATCGTTCCGTTGAAATGTATTTAGTTGCTACAGTACTGCTAGCTGGTATAGTTGGCCAGCTAGCAGTGGCTGCGGTGTTGCTACCCGCTAGCTAGCTAGCTTTAATGGTCCAGGTAGTGGGTTAGCGAGCTAGCCTCGTGCTTCACCGGGCTCAGTCGAATACCCTACAATACTTACCTACAATAACTACCTGGATAAACTACCTACAATGCCTAACTACAATACGTACCTACAATCTAAATGCATGGTTTAAGCTTTACTCCACACATATAAAGAAGAAGCCAACCTCACCCCATCGCTCCTTATTACATTTACATTTTAGTCATTTAGCAGACGCTCTTATCCAGAGCGACTTACAGTTAGTGAGTGCATACATTATTAATTTTTTATTTTTCATACTGGCCCCCCGTGGGAATCGAACCCACAACCCATGCTCTACCAACTGAGCTACATCCCTGCCGGCCATTCCCTCCCCTACCCTGGACGACGCTGGGCCAATTGTGCGCCGCCCCATGGTTCTCCCGGTCGCGGCCGGCTACGACAGAGCCTGGATTCGAACCAGGATCTCTAGTGGCACAGCTAGCACTGCGATGCAGTGCCTTAGACCACTGCACCACTCGGGAGTGGCTTGGGGGTAGGGCTGTCCTCGACAAAAACAAATCTTGGTCGACCGAAAGTAGTCTTGGTCGACATTTTTAAACATGTATTTTTTCATATATAGACACACCCTATGTGTTTTAACAAAATCAACTACAGTGCGTTCGGAAAGTATTCAGACCCCTTGACTTTTTCCACATTTTGTTACATTACAGCCTTATTCTAAAATGGATAAAACTAAGAGCATTTGGTACAAATCATTCCCTAAGATCTAGACCTCAGCTGAATCTGGTAATGAATGGTGTGTCTGTTGAACAAGTTGAGGAGACTAAATTACTTGGCGTTACCTTAGATTGTAAACTGTCACGGTCAAAACATATAGATTCAATGGTTGTAAAGATGGGGAGAGGTCTGTCCGTAATAAAGAGATGCTCTGCTTTTTTGACACCGCACTCCACAAAGCAAGTCCTGCAGGCTCTAGTTTTGCCTTATCTTGATTATTGTCCAGTGATGTGGTCGAGTGCAACAAGGAAAGACCTAGTTAAGCTGCAGTTGGCCCAGAAAAGAGCAGCACGTCTTGCTCTTCATTGTAATCAGAGGGCTAATATTAATACTATGCATGCCAGTCTCTCTTGGCTATGAGTTGATGAGAGACTTACTGCATCACTTCTTTGTATCAGAAACATGAATGTGTTGAAAATCCCAAATTGTTTGCATAGTGAACTTACATACAGCTCTGACATACACACTTACCTCACCAGACATGCCACCAGGGGTCTTTTCACAGTCCCCAAATCCAGAACAAATTCAATAAAATTTACATTATTATATAGAGGCAATATTGCTTTGAACTCCCTTCCATCTCATATTGCTCAAAAGAACAGCAAACCTGGTTTCAATAAACAGATAAAGCAACATCTCACGGCACAACGCCTCTCCCCTATTTGAACTAGATATTTTATATGTATGTATTGATATGTAGGCTACGTGTGCCGTTTTTAAATTGATGTAGTTCTGTCCTTTAGCTGTTCTTGTCTATTAATGTTCTGTATTATGTCATGTTTCATGTTTTGTGTGGACCCCAGGAAGAGTAGCTGCTGCTTTCACAACAGCTAATGGGGATCCTAATAAAATACCCCCAAAACATAATGATGACATAACGATCATTGATATTTTAACGATTACACAATTATCATTAATAATGATTGTTATTTCCATCTCTTTGCTTCAGGATAACCTACACAGAAGCCATAAACATCCTAAACAGCAGCTCCAAGACATTTGCTTTCAAAACAGATGTAAGTAGAGCTATATTCTCTTTCTGAAAGAGATAGCTGTAGCCTGTTTCAAAACAGATGTCAGTAGAGTAGAGCTATATTCTCTTTCAGAAAGAGATAGCTGTAGCCTGTTTCAAAACAGATGTAAGTAGAGCTCTATTCTCTTTCAGAAAGAGATAGCTGTAGCCTGTTTCAAAACAGATGTCAGTAGAGTAGAGCTCTATTCTCTTTCAGAAAGAGATAGCTGTAGCCTGTTTCAAAACAGATGTCAGTAGAGTAGAGCTCTATTCTCTTTCTGAAAGAGATAGCTGTAGCCTGTTTCAAAACAGATGTCAGTAGAGTAGAGCTCTATTCTCTTTCAGAAAGAGATAGCTGTAGCCTGTTTCAAAACAGATGTAAGTAGAGAGCTCTATTCTCTTTCAGAAAGAGATAGCTGTAGCCTGTTTCAAAACAGATGTCAGTAAGTAGAGCTCTATTCTCTTTCAGAAAGAGATAGCTGTAGCCTGTTTCAAAACAGATGTCAGTAGAGTAGAGCTCTATTCTCTTTCAGAAAGAGATAGCTGTAGCCTGTTTCAAAACAGATGTAAGTAGAGTAGAGCTCTATTCTCTTTCAGAAAGAGATAGCTGTAGCCTGTTTCAAAACAGATGTCAGTAGAGTAGAGCTCTATTCTCTTTCAGAAAGAGATAGCTGTAGCCTGTTTCAAAACAGATGTAAGTAGAGTAGAGCTCTATTCTCTTTCAGAAAGAGATAGCTGTAGCCTGTTTCAAAACAGATGTAAGTAGAGCTCTATTCTCTTTCAGAAAGAGATAGCTGTAGCCTGTTTCAAAACAGATGTCAGTAGAGTAGAGCTCTATTCTCTTTCAGAAAGAGATAGCTGTAGCCTGTTTCAAACAGATGTCAGTAGAGTAGAGCTCTATTCTCTTTCAGAAAGAGATAGATGTAGCCTGTTTCAAAACAGATGTCAGTAGAGTAGAGCTCTATTCTCTTTCAGAAAGAGATAGCTGTAGCCTGTTTCAAAACAGATGTCAGTAGAGTAGAGCTCTATTCTCTTTCAGAAAGAGATAGCTGTAGCCTGTTTCAAAACAGATGTCAGTAGAGTAGAGCTCTATTCTCTTTCAGTAAGAGATAACTGTAGCCTGTTTCAAAACAGATGTCAGTAGAGTAGAGCTCTATTCTCTTTCAGAAAGAGATAGCTGTAGCCTGTTTCAAAACAGATGTCAGTAGAGTAGAGCTCTATTCTCTTTCTGAAAGAGATAGCTGTAGCCTGTTTCAAAACAGATGTCAGTAGAGTAGAGCTCTATTCTCTTTCAGAAAGAGATAGCTGTAGCCTGTTTCAAAACAGATGTCAGTAGAGTAGAGCTCTGTTCTCTTTCAGAAAGAGATAGCTGTAGCCTGTTTCAAAACAGATGTCAGTAGAGTAGAGCTCTATTCTCTTTCAGAAAGAGATAGCTGTAGCCTGTTTCAAAACAGATGTCAGTAGAGTAGAGCTCTATTCTCTTTCTGAAAGAGATAGCTGTAGCCTGTTTCAAAACAGATGTCAGTAGAGTAGAGCTCTATTCTCTTTCAGTAAGAGATAGCTGTAGCCTGTTTCAAAACAGATGTAAGTAGAGCTCTATTCTCTTTCAGAAAGAGATAGCTGTAGCCTGTTTCAAAACAGATGTCAGTAGAGTAGAGCTCTATTCTCTTTCAGAAAGAGATAGCTGTAGCCTGTTTCAAAAACAGATGTAAGTAGAGCTCTATTCTCTTTCAGAAAGAGATAGCTGTAGCCTGTTTCAAAAACAGATGTCAGTAGAGTAGAGCTCTATTCTCTTTCAGAAAGAGATAGCTGTAGCCTGTTTCAAAACAGATGTCAGTAGAGTAGAGCTCTATTCTCTTTCAGAAAGAGATAGATGTAGCCTGTTTTCAAAACAGATGTCAGTAGAGTAGAGCTCTATTCTCTTTCAGAAAGAGATAGCTGTAGCCTGTTTCAAAACAGATGTAAGTAGAGTAGAGCTCTATTCTCTTTCAGAAAGAGATAGCTGTAGCCTGTTTCAAAACAGATGTCAGTAGAGTAGAGCTCTATTCTCTTTCAGAAAGAGATAGCTGTAGCCTGTTTCAAAACAGATGTCAGTAGAGTAGAGCTCTATTCTCTTTCAGAAAGAGATAGCTGTAGCCTGTTTCAAAACAGATGTCAGTAGAGTAGAGCTCTATTCTCTTTCAGAAAGAGATAGCTGTAGCCTGTTTCAAAACAGATGTAAGTAGAGTAGAGCTCTATTCTCTTTCAGAAAGAGATAGCTGTAGCCTGTTTCAAAACAGATGTAAGTAGAGTAGAGCTCTATTCTCTTTCAGAAAGAGATAGCTGTAGCCTGTTTCAAAACAGATGTCAGTAGAGTAGAGCTCTATTCTCTTTCAGAAAGAGATAGCTGTAGCCTGTTTCAAAACAGATGTCAGTAGAGTAGAGCTCTATTCTAGAATGTTGCACCCTGTGTATTATGTACTATGTCAAGCTGATTCTATTTTCACACTTTAGATTCTACAGTTTTAGGCAAGGTGTGAGGTCAAACCTTTCTCACTCCTTTTTCTGCATCTTACTCTCCCCCTCACTCTCACCTACGTACCCCCTTCACTCACTCTACCCCAACCCTTCTCCCCCTCACTCTCACCCCACCTTCTCCCCCCACTCTCTAACCCCACTTCTCCCCCTCACTCTCTACCCCCACCTCTCTCTCCCCCTCATCTCTACCCACCTCTTCTCCCCCTCACTCTCTACCCCACCTCCTCTCCCCCTCACTCTACCTCCCCCCCCTCTCTCCCCCTCACTCTCTCTCCCTCACCTCTACCCCCACTCTCTCTCCCCCTCACCTACCCTCACTCACCCCACCTTCTCTCCCCCTCACTCTCTTCCCCACCTTTCTCCCCCTCACTCTCTACCCCACCTTTCTACCCCTCACTCTCTACCCCACCTCTCTCTCCCCCTCACTCTCTACCCCACCTTTCTACCCCTCACTCTCTACCCCACCTTTCTCCCCCTCACTCTCTACCCCACCTCTCTCTCCCCCTCTCTCTACCCCACCTCTCTCTCCCCCTCACTCTCTACCCCCAACCTTTCTCCCCCCTCACTCTCTACCCCTCACTCTCTACCCCCACCTTTCTCCCCCTCACTCTCTACCCACCTTTCTACCCCCCTTTCTACCCCTCACTCTCTACCCCACCTTTCTCCCCCTCACTCTCTACCCCTCACTCTCTACCCCACCTCTCTCTCCCCCTCACTCTCTACCCCCACCTTTCTACCCCTCACTCTTTACCCCACCTTTTCTCCCCCTCACTCTCTACCCCTCACTCTCTACCCCACCTCTCTCTCTCCCCCCCTCACTCTCTACCCCCACCTTTCTACCCCTCACTCTCTACCCCACCTCTCGCCCCCCTCACTCTCTACCCCTCACTCTCTACCCCACCTCTCTACCCCACCTCTCTCACTCTCTACCCCACCTCTCTCCCCCCCCTCACTCTCTACCCCACCTTTCTTCCCACCCTCTTCTACTCTGTCTTCCTCTTCCTCTCTCCTCCCTTCCTCCTCCCTCTCTACCAGTGGGGCTGTGACCTGCAGACAGAGCATGAGAAGTACCTGGTGAAACATTGTGGCGATCTTCCTCTCTTCGTCACTGATTACCCCTATGCCCTGAAGCCCTTCTATGCACGAGACAACCTGGACCAACCTCTACACACGGTAAGATCACGTCCGGATCAGTCTAGTTTCAACAACACATCAGGTTGTTATTCTAAAAGAGAATGCGTTCTTAATAAGTTACCCGGTTAAATAAAGGCCAAGCAAAACTCCGCTCCATAGTTAAAACAGTTCAATGTTTCACCTATTGAAGTTGTACTGTTCCGGGCATGTTCCCGTCATGTCAGTTGAACCATCTGTCGTTTTTTTAAAGGTGCTTTCTTCAACACTTGCAGCCCAGCCATCTCCTTATGGTTTAGTCTAAAAGCTGAAGGCCTTTTAGTCACCCAGTGGTGTGTGTGTGTGTGTGTGTATGTGTGTATATGTATGCGTGTGTGTATATGTATGCGTGTGTGTGTGTGTATATGTATGCGTGTGTGTGTGTGTGTGTGTATATGTATGTGTGTGTATATGTATGCGTGTGTGTGTGTATATGTATGCATGTGTGTATATGTATGCGTGTGTGTGTGTGTGTGTGTGTGTGTGTGTATATGTATGCATGTGTGTATATGTATGCGTGTGTGTGAGAGTATATGTGTGTGTGTGTGTATGCATGTGTGTATATGTATGCGTGTGTATATGTATGTGTGTGTGTGTATATGTATGCGTGAGAGTATATGTGTGTGTGTGTGTGTGTATGTACACTACCGTTCAAAAGTTTGGGGTCACTTAGAAATGTCCTTGTTTTCAAAAGAAAAGCAATTTAAAATAACATCAAATTGATCAGAAATACAGTGTAGACATTGTTAATGTTGTAAATGGCTGGTAGCTGGAAACGGCTGATTTTTAATGGAATATCTACATAGGCGTACAGAGGCCCATTATCAGCAACCATCAGTCCTGTGTTCCAATGGCACGTTGTGTTTGCTAATCCAAGTTTATCATTTTAAAAGGCTAATTGATCATTAGAAAACCCTTTTGCAATTATGTTAGCACAGCTGAAAACTGTTGTGCTGATTAAAGAAGCAATAAAACTGGCCTTCTTGAGACTAGTTGAGTATCTGGAGCATCAGCAATTGTGGGTTCGATTACAGGCTCAAAATGTCCAGAAACAAATAACTTTCTTCTGAAACTCGTCAGTCTATTCTTGTTCTGAGAAATGAAGGCTATTACATGTGAGAAATTGCCAAGAAACTGAAGATCTCGTACAACGCTGTGTACTACTTCCATCACAGAACAGAACAAACTGTCTCTAACCAGAATAGAAAGAGGAATGGGAGGCCCCGGTGCACAACTGAGCAAGAGGACAAATACATCAGTGTCTAGTTTGAGAAACAGACGCCTCACAGGTCCTCAACTGCCAGCTTCATTAAATAGTACCCGCAAAACACCAGTCTCAACATCAACAGTGAAGAGGCGATTCTGGGATGCTGACCTTCTAGGCATATCTCAGATTGGCCAATAAAAATAAAAGATTAAGATGGGCAGTCTGAGATATGGCTTTTTCTTTGCAACTCTGCCTACACCACCCAGTATCCCATAATACATATCAAATCAAAATTGTATTTGCCACATGCGCCAAATACAACAGGTGTAGACATTACAGTGAAATGCTTACTTATTAATTCCACAAATTAACTTTTAAGAAGGCACACCTGTTAATTGAAATGCATTCCAGGTGACTACCTCATGAAACTGGTTGAGAGAATGCCAAGAGTGTGCAAAGCTGTCATCAAGGCAAAGGGTGGCTACTTTGAAGAATCTCAAATATAACATATATTTTGATTTGTTTAACACTTTTTTTGGTTACTACATTATTCCATATGTGTTATTTCATAGTTTTGATGTCTTCACTATTATTCTACTTGAATTAGTAGGTGTTCTAAAACTGTTGACAGGGTGTGTGTGTGTGTGTGTGTGTGTGTGTGTGTGTGTGTGTGTGTGTGTGTGTGTGTGTGTGTGTGTGTGTGTGTGTGTGTGTGTGTGTGTGTGCCTCCCTCCCTCCCTCCCTCCCCAGGCAGCAGCAGTAGACCTATTGGTTCCGGGAGTAGGAGAGATGTGTGGAGGCTCTCTGAGAGAGGAGAGACTGGACCTGCTGAAGGCACGACTACGACAGTAAGAACACGTTATCCCATGATATTAACTATTACCACTTTGAGATAAAAGAAAACATCCTTCCAAATAAAAAATAGAACAATGCATTTCATGGCCAATACATATATACTGTATAAGTACATACATATATTTGACATACAACGGACAGAAATGTGAAAAGCGTAATATTGAGTAAATATGTATACTGTTGTCATACCTGTGTAACAACACAGTCATTAGTGTGTAAAAACATGGAATCAACATAGTCATTTGGTAAATAACTTGTCTGTTAAATACATTATGCATCTTCTTTAGGGCTGGTTTGGATGAGACATACGGATGGTAAGAGTATTCTGTTCTACTCTACACTGTTCTATTCTGTTCTACTCTACACTGTTCTATTCTGTTCTATATCTACCACTGTTCTATTCTTACTCTACACTGTTCTATTCTGTTCTATTCTACTCTACACTGTTCTATTATGTTCTACTCTACACTGTTCTATTCTATTCTACTCTACACTGTTCTATTCTGTTCTATTCTACTCTACACTGTTCTATTCTGTTCTATTCTACTCTACACTGTTATATTCTATTCATCTACACTGTTCATTGTTTATTCTACTCTACACTGTTCTATTTGTTCTATTTCTACACTGTTCTATTCTACTACTCTACATGTCTTTCTACTCTACACTGTTCTATTCTGTTCTATTCTACACTGTTCTATTCTGTTCTATTCTACTCTACACTGTTCTATTCTGTTCTATTCTACTCTACACTGTTCTATTCTGTTCTATTCTACACTGTTCTATTCTGTTCTATTCTACTCTACACTGTTCTATTCTGTTATATTCTACACTGTTCTATTCTGTTCTATTCTACTCTACACTGTTCTATTCTGTTCTATTCTACTCATGTTCATCTGTTTTCTACTCTACACTGTTCTATTCTGTTATATTCTACTCTACACTGTTCTATTCTGTTATATTCTACTCTACACTGTTCTATTCTACTCTACACTGTTCTATTCTGTTCTATTCTACTCTACACTGTTCTATTCTGTTCTATTCTACTCTACACTGTTCTATTCTGTTCTATTCTACACTGTTCTATTCTGTTCTATTCACTACTGTTTCTATTTCTATCATCTACATGTTCTATCTTATCTAACTGTTCTATTCTGTTTATTCTACTCTACACTGTTCTATTCTGTTATATCTACCTGTTTCTGTTTTCTACTCTACACTGTTCTATCTGTTATATCTACACTGTTCTATTCTGTTTCTATTCTATCTACACTGTTCTATTTACTAGTTCTATTTGTCTATTCTACTCTACACTGTTCTATTCTTTATATCTACTCTACACTGTTCTGTTATATTCTACTCTACACTGTTCTATTATACTCTACACTGTTCTATTCTGTTCTATTCTACTCTACACTGTTCTATTCTGTTCTATTCTACTCTACACTGTTCTATTCTGTTATATTCTACTCTACTGTTCTATTCTACTCTACACTGTTCTATTCTGTTCTATTCTACTCTACACTGTTCTATTCTGTTATATTCTACTCTACACTGTTCTATTCTACTCTACTGTTCTATTGTTCTACTATCTACACTGTTCTATTCTGTTATTATTTTACTATCTACACTGTTCTATTTCTATTTATTCTACTCTATACTACACTGTTCTATTCTGTTTATCTATCTACATGTTCTATTCTTCTATTCTACTACTGTTCTATTGTATCTACTTCCTTTATCTACTCTTACACTGTTCTATTCTGTTCTATTCTACCTACACTGTTATCTGTTTTCTATCTACTTAATCTACAACTGTTCTATTCTGTTCTACTTCTATCAGTCTATACACCATGTTCTATTCTGTTCTATTCTACTCTACACTGTTTTCTGTTCTATTCTACTCTACACTGTTCTATTCTGTTCTATTCTACTCTACACTGTTCTATTCTGTTATATTCTACTCTACACTGTTCTATTACTCGTTCTATTCTATTTACACTGTCTTTCATTTATCTACCTGTTCTATTCTGTTATATTCTACTCTACACTGTTCTATTCTGTTCTATTCTACTCTACACTGTTCTATTCTGTTATATTCTACTCTACACTGTTCTATTCTGTTCTATTCTACTCTACACTGTTCTATTCTGTTATATTCTACTCTACACTGTTCTATTCTGTTCTTTACTTACTGTTCATCTATATTCACTCTACTGTTCTATTCTGTTCTATTCTACTCTACACTGTTCTATTCTATTCTACTCTACACTGTTCTATTCTGTTCTATTCTACTCTACACTGTTCTATTCTATTATATTCTACTCTACACTGTTCTATTCTGTTATTACTCTATACTTCTATTCTTATTCTACTTACCTGTTGTTCTATTCTACTCTACACTGTTCTATTCTTTCTGTATAATTTCTATTTATCTACTCTACACTGTTATTCTGTTATTCTACTCTACACTGTTCTATTCTGTTCTATTCTACTCTACACTGTTTTCTATTATATCTACTACATTTATCTACTCACATGTTCTATTTTATTCTACTCTACACTGTTCTATTATTCTACTCTACACTGTTCTATTCTGTTATATTCTACTCTACACTGTTCTATTCTGTTATATTCTACTCTACACTGTTCTATTCTGTTCTATTCTACTCTACACTGTTCTATTCTGTTATCACTAAGTTCTACTTATCTTTACTCTATTTCTCTGTTCTATTCTACACTGTTCTGTTCTATTCTACTCTACACTACACTGTTCTATTCTGTTCTATTCTACTCTACACTGTTCTATATATTCTATTCTACTCTACACTGTTCTATTCTACTCTACACTGTTCTATTCTACTCTACACTGTTCTATTCTGTTCTATTCTACTCTACACTGTTCTGTTCTACTCTACACTGTTCTATTCTATTCTACTCTACAACTGTTCTATTCTATTCTACTCTACACTGTTCTATTCTACTCTACTCTACACTGTTCTATTCTGTTATATTCTACTCTACACTGTTCTATTCTGTTCTATTCTACTCTACACTGTTCTATTCTGTTCTATTCTACTCTACACTGTTCTATTCTGTTCTGTTATATTCTACTCTAATCTACTATATTCTGTCTCTCCAGGTATTTGGATCTGAGGCGTTTTGGCTCTGTCCCTCACGGTGGGTTTGGGATGGGCTTTGAGCGCTACCTGCAGTGTGTTTTGGGGGTTGACAACATCAAAGACGTTATTCCATTCCCCAGATACTCCCGCTCCTGCCTTCTGTAAACCATACACTGAGTATACCAAACATTAAGAACACCTTCCTAATATTGAGTTGCATCCTTTTTTGCCCTCACAACAGCCTCAATTCGTCGGGGCATGGACTCTACAAGGTGTCGAAAGCGTTCCACAGGGATGCTGGCCCATGTTGACTCCAATGCTTCCCACAGTTGTGTCAAGTTGGCTGGATGTCCTTTGGATAGTGGCCCATTCTTGATACACACAGGAAACTGTTGAGTGTGAAAAACCCAGTAGCGTTGCAGTTCTTTTCACAAACCGGTGAGCCTGGCACCTACTACCATACCCCGTTCAAAGGCACTTTAATATTTTGTCTTGCCCATTCACCCTCTGAATGGCACACATACACAATCCATGTCTCAATTGTCTCAAGGCTTAAAAATCCTTCTTTAACCTGCCTCCTCCCCTTCATCTACACTGATTGAAGTGGATTTAACAAGTGACATCAATAAGGGATCATAGCTTTCACCTGGATTCACCTGGTCAGTCTATGCCATGGAAAGAGCAGGTGTTCATAATGTTTTGTACACTCAGGGTATATAGCACTATGGTCAGATGATTCGTTTGTGAAGATGTCAATGTTTTTTTATTTATAAAAAGTCTAAATGACCAAATGTTGTCTGCTGTTGTTCATTTAAGAAACTGTCAAAAATAGTGTTTAAATGCATAGGCACGGGAAGTAGTGATGCCGAGGGTGCTGCAGCCGAGGGTGCTGCAGCCGAGGGTGCTGCAGCCGAGGGTGCTGCAGCCGAGGGTGCTGCAGCCGAGGGTGCTGCAGCCGAGGGTGCTGCAGCCGAGGGTGCTGCAGCCGAGGGTGCTGCAGCCGAGGGTGCTGCAGCCGAGGGTGCTGCAGCCGAGGGTGCTGCAGCCGAGGGTGCTTGAAACTACTGCCCGCAGCTATATTTAAATGTTGATTGGACCAATGTATTGTTGATTGGACCAATGTATTGTTGATTGGACCAATGTATTGTTGATTGGACCAATGTATTGTTGATTGGACCAATGTATTGTTGATTGGACCAATGTATTGTTGATTGAGTCTAGAACAGTGTGTTTGAGTTTCCGTGAGACTTTCAGGTGCACAGAGAAGGTCACTACTGTTTCCAGGAGTCCTTCAGGTGCACATAGAAGGTCACTACTGTTTCCAGGAGTCCTTCAGGTACACAGAGAAGGTCACTACTGTTTCCAGGAGTCCTTCAGGTGCACATAGAAGGTCACTACTGTTTCCAGGAGTCCTTCAGGTACACAGAGAAGGTCACTACTGTTTCCAGGAGTCCTTCAGGTACACAGAGAAGGTCACTACTGTTTCCAGGAGTCCTTCAGGTGCACAGAGAAGGTCACTACTGTTTCCAGGAGTCCTTCAGGTGCACAGAGAAGGTCACTACTGTTTCCAGGAGTCCTTCAGGTGCACAGAGAAGGTCACTACTGTTTCCAGGAGTCCTTCAGGTGCACATAGAAGGTCACTACTGTTTCCAGGAGTCCTTCAGGTGCACAGAGAAGGTCACTACTGTTTCCAGGAGTCCCTCAGGTGCACAGACAAGGTCACTACTGTTTCCAGGAGTCCTTCAGGTGCACAGACAAGGTCACTACTGTTTCCAGGAGTCCTTCAGGTGCACAGACATCACATAACTGTTTCCAGGAGTCCTTTAGGGGCACAGACAAGGTGACTACTGTATGTATTATGATGGCGAAACAAGGCTGAAGAATGATTCACTTCGACTTCACGGCCAGTTACTGTAGTTATTTATGTGACTGCCCTTCTTAGGTAATCATGTCCAGTGTAATGGTAGCTCTGGTCCAGGGCGTTAGTGTACGTTCCCTCACTTAATCTGGTTCTAATGATGAATTTAGTTTTAAGATGCTTTTGTGAAACAGGGCCCTGGACCAGAGCTATGTTTCGTGTCGCGTAGTAGGCGTCTCTTTTATCCACTAGATGGTGCGTTTTCACACCTCTTCCTCATTTCTTATCTCCTGGATTTTCTGTATCCTGTATCATTTTTCTTTCTGCCATTGACGAAAGATTCACATTCAAGCAACAGTTGATCAACCCACGAGTTTCTCAACACAACTTATAGGTAGAAGGAAATGTTATCTTAGTAACATATATCAGCCTACTAATTAATAAGAGACTTTCATGCATAAAAAGTTGGATTAAACCAATTGTCCTATTTACAAGCCTATTAATTGCGGCACAGATCATAGTTTCCATTCACCGACATTTTTACATTACTTCCCACGGTTTGTCTAAGGAGGGTCATAGTCCTTCTGCTAGAGTTTACTCCTGTTTCCATGTTCGCAATTTAATTTGCCTCTGCCCACTGGGCACAGACACCAGTTCAACATCTAGTTTTAATTTACATTTGGTTGAGTTGTGAATTAAACGTGAAATTAACAAAACATGTCACCATGTCATTGGATTTAGGTCAAAAGTTGGGTGAAAAAAATATGACATTCCCATATGTTGATGTCCTTTTTTATTTATTTTATCCAATCCGTTTTCCACGTTGAGTCAACGTCATCACATTGAATCTTTTGGTTGAAATGACGTAGAAACGCTGTTGATTCAACCAGTTTTTTTTGGCCAGTGGGTGTGTGGTTTGTACTACACTATGTTGCGTCTGACTGCTTTGGCGCATAATGGACTCCGGGGATGAACAGAGAGAGGAGCTGTGCTTGCGTCAAGCCAAGCCAAGCCAAGCCAAGCCAAGCACAGCTCCTCTCTGTTCGTCCCAGCGCTGCTGTTCTTGCCCAGAGCCCATCCCTGTAGTTCAGTGGGCGTGGAAAACAAAGTGCAGAGACATCCTTCAGTACTTCCTACATCACCGTGATCCGTTGAGGGCACCCGCCGCTCGCGGGCTCATTGCTAGTTTACCGTCCAGCACAGCCGCATAATAACTCCCGGGGAGAGGGACGAGGGACGAGGGATCGGTTGTTGCGCTCCGCGAACCGGCTAGAGGTGGTGATTCAGTTCTGTGCGTTATGGTGACACCAAGGACGAATAGCAGTCAGGCAGCATCTCCTGTCGCGCAGTCAGCCTTGCGCTTATAGACCCAACGAGATAAATGGGGAGCGGACTGCACCAAACAGTGTCCGGCACCGATAGCGCCACTCCACATTGACCAAAAGAACTGGACATTAGGCACTGGACGGAACCCGTCATGTACTAAAGAAAGTATATTACACCAGTAGCTGTTAAGAGACTGGAACAGGATTTTGAAGAAGCGGTTTTTTGTTCAGCATGAGCGGTGGAGGAGAAATCATCTTCCAAGGCTGGCTGAGAAAATCGCCACCGGAGAAGAAACTGAGGAGATATGTAAGTAATATAGAATAAATTATTATCCTACTTTTTGCGCACTTTTTCTTTTGGTTGTTACTCAACAGCCTGTATTGACTCAGTAGGCTAACAGGGAGTATGGATGGACTGACAGCTGTTCTGACCGTAGTCTGTCTGTCCACCCACTTCAGCTGGTATGTATAAAGAGAGAGAGAGAGATGTTTTGTGATGAGTTCAATTTCTAACAGGTGCATACAACTGCCCTGGAGAGTTACATGTTGCCTCCAATTTTCTCCTCACTTTTTAGATTTATCTGATGCTGCTCCCTCTGTTTTTAGACTTATCTGATACGGCTCCCTCTGTTTTTAGACTTATCTGATACGGCTCCCTCTGTTTTTAGACTTATCTGATGCTGCTCCCTCTGTTTTTAGACTTATCTGATACTGCTCCCTCTGTTTTTAGACTTATCTGATGCTGCTCCCTCTGTTTTTAGACTTATCTGATACTGCTCCCTCTGTTTTTAGACTTATCTGATAAGGCTCCCTCTGTTTTTAGACTTATCTGATAAGGCTCCCTCTGTTTTTAGACTTATCTGATAAGGCTCCCTCTGTTTTTAGACTTATCTGATAAGGCTCCCTCTGTTTTTAGACTTATCTGATAAGGCTCCCTCTGTTTTTAGACTTATCTGATGCTGCTCCCTCTGTTTTTAGACTTATCTGATGCTGCTCCCTCTGTTTTTAGACTTATCTGATGCTGCTCCCTCTGTTTTTAGACTTATCTGATGCTGCTCCCTCTGTTTTTAGACTTATCTGATGCTGCTCCCCTCTGTTTTTAGACTTATCTGATGCTGCTCCCTCGTGTTTTTAGACTTATCTGATGCTGTCCCTCTGTTTTTAGACTTATCTGATGCTGCTCCCTCTGTTTTTAGACTTATCTGATGCTGCTCCCTCTGTTTTTAGACTTATCTGATAAGGCTCCCTCTGTTTTTAGACTTATCTGATAAGGCTCCCTCTGTTTTTAGACTTATCTGATAAGGCTCCCTCTGTTTTTTAGACTTATCTGATAAGGCTCCCTCTGTTTTTAGACTTATCTGATAAGGCTCCCTCTGTTTTTAGACTTATCTGATGCTGCTCCCTCTGTTTTTAGACTTATCTGATACGGCTCCCTCTGTTTTTAGACTTATCTGATGCTGCTCCCTCTGTTTTTAGACTTATCTGATGCTGCTCCCTCTGTTTTTAGACTTATCTGATAAGGCTCCCTCTGTTTTTAGACTTATCTGATAAGGCTCCCTCTGTTTTTAGACTTATCTGATAAGGCTCCCTCTGTTTTTAGACTTATCTGATAAGGCTCCCTCTGTTTTTAGACTTATCTGATAAGGCTCCCTCTGTTTTTAGACTTATCTGATGCTGCTCCCTCTGTTTTTAGACTTATCTATAAGTCATGTGTCAGCAGGTAGCCTAGCGCGTTGGGCCAGTAACTGAAAGGTCGCTGGTTTGAATCCCTGAACCGACTAGGTGAAAAATCTCTCATTGTGCCCCCGAGTCAGGCACTTTACCCTATTTCAGGGATGGGGATGGGGTCCACATAAAACGGAACTGATCATGAGGGGCTGCAGTGGGTCTGTGTAAAAAAAAGAAAACGAAATCCCTGCCCTAATTGCTCCTGTAAATCGCTCTGGATAAGAGCGTCCGCTAAACGATGTAAATGTGATGTGTTTTCAAAAACAACTTTATTCAGACTATATTTAACTAATAGTTAAAGGCCTGCAGAGGAAGCTGTGCTCACAATGGGGCTCTATAGTACCATTGAGATGCTGTCTGCCTGTCCATCTGTCTGCCTGTCCATCTGTCTGCCTGTCCATCTGTCTGCCTGTCCATCTGTCTGCCTGTCCATCTGTCTGCCTGTCCATCTGTCTGCCTGTCCATCTGTCTGCCTGTCCATCTGTCTGCCTGTCCATCTGTCTGCCTGTCCATCTGTCTGCCTGTCCATCTGTCTGCCTGTCCATCTGTCTGCCTGTCCCTCTGTCTGCCTGTCCATCTGTCTGCCTGTCCCTCTGTCTGCCTGTCCATCTGTCTGCCTGTCCATCTGTCTGCCTGTCCATCTGTCTGCCTGTCCATCTGTCTGCCTGTCCATCTGTCTGCCTGTCCATCTGTCTGCCTGTCCCTCTGTCTGCCTGTCCATCTGTCTGCCTGTCCATCTGTCTGCCTGTCCATCTGTCTGCCTGTCCATCTGTCTGCCTGTCCATCTGTCTGCCTGTCCATCTGTCTGCCTGTCCATCTGTCTGCCTGTCCATCTGTCTGCCTGTCCCTCTAATGCTGTTAAGGACATATGTCCC